ACAGACGCGGTTATGTGAGTAACACATTCGGCTAGTTATTTTCACTTCCGGTTATTTTTGTCTTGGAGGAGCAGGGGGGGAGGGTCAGATGTTTTTGGGTAGGTATTTATAAAAGGTCATGCATTAATCCATTCTGGGAAGTGGGAGGGCCACGACTTTTTTCGCAAAAAATTTCTAAAATACCCCGACCCACCCCCCCCGCCCATCACCCCCCCCCCCCCCCCCCCCCCCCCGATTAAATACTGATCTATCGCTAGCCCCACACTCGGCACTCATGTCAATAAATCTATTTTTTGCCAAGTGTTCCGCTATATTTGGATGATATTAAGCTCCACACAACTCATTGTCTTTTTCCCTTGTGTTGGTTTTGATTTAATTTTTAACACAGTCACTCAAAGCGAAGTAATAGATATTGTTCTTGCTTTCAAAGACGGAAACCTACAACGACTATGTTATCTGGAATTCAAATAGGATCAGTCAAGTTTTCAACTGAAACAGGAATGCAAACATAGAAGTTGTTATTTCGTCGAAGTGAAGTCAATTCAGTTATGCTCGGCACTCCAGCGATCAATACATTTTTTCTTCAAAGCATATTTTTCCAGGGCAACGTATATTGTCATTAAGTAAAAACTGACACTTTGTGCTTCTAGCGTGAGATATGCCCAATATTGCGGCGTGACCTTGCAGGGTTTTTATGAATTGATGTTGGTTTAATTTCTTCATCCAAGCGATAGTGTTCATTTATCATAAAACAGTGTTTGACATTTAACTGCTAAAATTAAGATGTATAATTTTACTGGAAAGAGGCAACAGTAAAAGGATGTAAAGAATGGTTTAAGAACTTACGAGCTATAAAAAATAGTATTTAAAAGGAAACTTTATTATCAACCACCTTTCTTCAATCGATTATGTTTTACGTCTTACTCGATTGCAGAGAAAATTTCATGGAATGTGAAGAAAATTCTTATATTTAAAAGTGAGCTCATGACAAGTACGAATGACAGAGCGGTGTAGCAATAATTTGCTCTTAATCAATTTTCTATGCACAACTAAAGTGTGATATGATATTGAGATCCAAAGAACGATTCTCTTACAGTCACGAACTCCACGCATTTTTGTTTTAAATCCCGTAAAAACTCTACAAAGGTACAAAAACTTGACACTGGTATCATTAGCAAGGTTTTCGAGAAGTTAGTCTGTAGTTTTTAGAACAGGAACTTTATCTTTTCGTATAAAACAACATTTAAGGAAATTTTAGCTCTGTAGATAACGAGATAAATTTGGAGGTGATAATATATCTAACAAATATTTCAACAGCACTTTCTTGACTGGGCACGAATAGCCTCAAATATAACTCTGACAATACTTGTATCAGATTCATTATCTCCAACAAGACTTTTAAGACATCGTCTTAACTATACAAAGCTCATACCTGTACCGATGTTAAAGGTCACCAATGTGGTTAACACAAAAATTATCGTCAACGTCCTCATTTCCCCACAGCAACTCGGCAAGAGAAGTTTGCGTGTTCAGAAAAGAAAATGAATTGTTGTAAAGCCTTCTTCAATATCGATGTCGTATCATACTTAAGGTTAATCGTAGCACGTGTCAAACTCGCGCCCCAGACATGAAGAATTCACGAGTTATTACATGTAACTTCGTGTCGGGCTCTAGTTTACGGCTGTCTGTTGGTCTTTTTTTCCTTTTTCCACAATGTTTGTTTTTTTTTCCTAAACCAAGGGGACAATGAACCCTACTAGACTCGAAATGTCTTTGAAAACCAAAACACCGTCATAAGAATCGCTCATAATCGAAAAACCGCTGAACATAATTATTAAAACTGCGAATTCACAAAATAAAATACAGTAGCAGAAGACTTGCACCTTTCCTTTCTTGAGGAACAGACATTTTCATTTGAGATCATTGCTTAAAATCCAAAAACAAAACCAAAACTGTAATAAAACGTTCGTCATGATCAATTTTGCGTTTTATCTCTGACCGTAGAAAAAAGATATAAAAAGAAGTAATGAGAAAATTCTAGACAGAATTTCTCAATGTTAATTGACAATTTAATTCTAGAACAGAAATAAAACGGAACCGGCGCTTTGTATTTGTGACAACTGAATTTTATCAACTCAGCGTAGAGAAACACGGATTACTGATAAAAAAAAGAATTATGACGGCATATTGCAGATTATATTATGCCTGCGTATCTCGCTTGCTTGGCTGAATTCGTATTCCGTTGTTTACAACATACGGCAAAAGTGAAAACTGATCTTACAATTGCTATGAATAGGGTGTCTCACTTTCTCGCTGCTTAAAATAACTACCCACCGCTCTTGGCTTAGAAAAACAACTTTATGACAACTGTTTGGAAAACGAAGAGGAAACGAAATCAGATGCATGTTGACAATAATCGAACTAATCAAATCTGCCAGGTTCAGGTCTAGAATACATACTTGACAAGGCTTGGCGTGTTTCATAACAACAACAAAATTGAGGTCGAGTTGGCTCGTGACTCGAGGTTCAGCCGTTCAAGAGGCAGGCACGTGCTCATTATACTTTGTGGTTGAGACTGCACAACAGCACTGGTATGTTTGTTCTTGTAAGCGTTCTCTTCTCTTTCGAAGATCTCGTTATGTGGAAGGGACCTTAAATATTAAAAAGTAAACTATGTGGCCCGCCAATCCAGCATGTCAAAAGCGGACACAATGCTAATAAAATGTAGAATATTGCGTCATTTAGGTTCTTCGTGATCATTCGATTTCTGTTTTCTGGCATGTTGCCTTGTGAACTCCGTCTGAGATTCTTTTCTTTCTTTTTTTTTTCTTTTTTTCATTCCTCCCAGTCAGGTGATCAATTCTCTTAACCTATCTTCCTTTAACAATGCTGGCATTGTAGATGATGATAACCGTCAAATTTACGCACAAGCGGCTGTTACCAGGTGAGTACGACAATGGCAACCGTTCTTTCGTTAATCATGAAAATTGCTTTTATTTCCTTAGTTTGAAGATAGTTTTACAAGGTCAATTACTCTTAGCTTTGCTGTAAATGATCTCAAAATGTTATCCTAATGACACTTTTCCTTCACTTAAAACAATTCACAAATCGCAGCTGAACGTGCTCTCAGCTCTTTAGCTGCGATAATAAACAAAGAAAAAACAACAATTTTGTTTTGTTATCTTTGGTCTTACGTCTGCGGCACCAGCTCAATTAACATCTGCTCGAAGAACTGCGTACCGTGCAAGAAAGAACGTTCAACGCTGCCAATAACTTGAATGCAACATGCACAGATGCACAGATACACCAATTCAGGATTCGTAACCTTTACTCATAAGTAAACAGAAGAATTTCAGTCCCTTAATGACAAGTCGATTATTGCATATACATTAGTGCTGAGCGATGTTGAGGGAGTTGATCAGTCTATCGTAGTTTTCGAATCGTGTTGTGTATTTTTGTCATTGGGTGGTCCTATACTCTGAAATCATATTCTGAGTTCTTTATCTCCTTATCCAACTGGCTGAGGAGGTGGAGGTTTCATCTCCTTACTGTTGTCGATCGTCTCTACTTTAGGCGGTGGAGGCTTGATCCGTGGAAACTCTGGAGGCTTGTTCTCGTCTGCTACCAATGTCAACGTTGCATTAAGTCCCACATCTTCCTGGAGCTGTTCAATGGGCTTAGAGGCACTCCATGTGGACTTCACTTCGTACTCCGTGGTTTCTTCAAACTGGCCTGTCATGGTGAACGTATACAGATCCTCATTTGTTAGGATATCAATGAGTTCCCTGGCTGTTGGGTAACGCTGCCTCATTGCGTGCCATTGCCAAGGATGCATGTTTTCTTCACTTTGTTCTTTCAAGGCTTCGTAAAATGGTTTCTGTGCATCGCCAAAGTTGTGCTTCACGACCACACGGTCGCCTGACCCTCGATGCTTCGAATGGAAGTTGGTAGACTGTCCATCGTAGCCCCCACCCCATCTCATGTAACCCTCCAGAATAACCGAAAATTTGGGCAGAATCTTTGCTGTGTACGGGATTGTAATTTTTTGGGGTTTCCTGATAGCGCGCCATTCTGAGAAAGACCGCTTGGGTAGCTCCTTGGCTTCTTTAATGTTGATAATGTGCCAGTCTTCATCGGCCGTTGATTCTTCTTCATCTCCACCCCATTCGTATTTAAAATTTGTTTTCGCTGAGAATCCCACTCCACCCGTCGTACTTGGTGGCTCATACTCCAGACCCACCTCAATGCCAAACTTCGAATCCCATGTGGTGGTCTTGACATTCTTCAGCGTACGAGCACTTCGAAATTCCAGCTCAACCTTGGGCGAATAAGGACTGTCTCTGTCATTGATGGCTTTTTTGGTGTAACTTTGCAGAAACTTCTCATCTTCCAGACTAAACGACTGCATCTCAGACTTGCCAAATATGACGTCCTTCATGCCAAACGAGAAGTTGCCATAATGGATCTTTAAACGAACATCTTTCTTTGGTCCTTCTCCGGGACATGGATCCCTGTTGCTTGCTTCCCACGTCTCTCCACTTCTCTGGAAATCTTCACCTGTGTACTGTGCCCAGCATCCGCCAGCCCAGGCATATCCCAGATTGCCAGCCAGTTGACCGAGATAGTCCATGGTGGTGTCCATAACGCGCTGTTTTAGATCTCTCATATTTGTTAGTGCTGGAATTTCTGTGGGAAGAAGACAATTCTTTTTACTTTGCAAGCTATTTCTTTATTTTCTTCCTCCTGTAATGTAAATCTTAGCCTGACGTTTATTAGTCAGTGGGGCGAGCGCTATTTCAACAAGCTCACTTTTAAGTTAAGTTTTTTAAGAGTAGGCGGACATGCCACCTGCCATGAGCGGATACTTTGTCATGGTGCCAGCCACATACAAACACTGCATTTTCAACCTCCCATAAGTAGACACCTCCTTTTAGCGGACACTCTCTTTTGGTTTTGAGGGCGTCCGCTTACGGGAGGTTCGACCGTAGTTGCATTTTATCAAGGACAAGAACATGGCATAATCATCACATGAGTAGTGCAGGACGACATAGTCAAAGAAAAAAAAAACGTACCCTCAGCCATTTTGCAACATTTAAATTGTACAATATTAGAGAGTTTGTGATCTCCTGACGTTGTCCTAAATCCAACAATGAAGTGGCCCGGTTGCTTGCACTCACTCAGGCCAGCCTTGTTGAAAGTGTTACTGACGTCCTCGTTGTAGCATCCATTATATTCATACGGATGATGAGATGGTTTACAACACTTGCTCCATTCGATGTTTCCAATATTATGGTTGGCACCGCGATACAGTCCTCGAAGGAAAAATCCAGGAGGGCAAAGACTCGCACCTTGACTAGGCAAAACAGCAACAAAAAAAGAAATTGATGAGTTTACATCTCTAAACCAGTTAGGGTGCAGGATTTGTACTATGGAGGTCCCGCGCTCAAATCCTCTTCCCTGCGACTAGATGGATTTGTAACATTGTAAATGGTTTGGACCCAGGAGTATCAGTAGTTCGTCTTGCGTGATCGTCCGGATGAGGGTACATGTAGTTCTGAAAAGAATTTTTGTTGAAATGTTAAACGACTCTCACCCTGACGATCACACAAGACGAACTATGAAAGGATTTGCATTCGGTGGTCCCAAATTCAACCCCCCCATTTTTGAAAATAGCCTATTGCAACTGGTCAGCCTCCACCTGGATTTTTCACAAGTTTTCAATCCTATTTACAATATTTGTCTCTACTCATATTCATAGCTAGCGCCCCCAATTTGCAAAGCAGAGCTAAATACTGTTAAAAAAAAAAGAAAAAAAACAGTTTTCTTACTTTCCCATCGTGTTTATCCAGTTTGGCATTTGGCACTGCGTTGGAACGTTCCAAAAGGTTTGGCTTCGTCTACAGCACTTTGCTTTCTTGAGTCCTAGGAGCGAGTCATCATCAGTCCTTTCAAAACCGGTGATGTAGTAATAACCATCTCTGGATGAACAACTTGTGAAACCTTTCTGGCTAAATGACCTACTCCAATCCTCCATGTTACAGTTTTCTGTCGAGCCTTCAAAAAAAATCAGTTAGAAATTAAAACGAAAAAGGAAAAACAAGTGGGACTTTAACTTGGTGTCTTGAAAGTCTTGAAGCGATCTCAAAAACCACGGAACTATCTGCTTAACATTGAGAAAGGATACATTAAAATTTCATCTTTAAAGGTCTTGAAGGGCCAATATCATGAAAGCGTTATTGTTAACGGGCTCAGTGTTTGATCTATATTGGAGAAACATTGATGTTTCTCTTTTTCAAGTCTATAGAAGAATTCGATTAATTTCCCCAGCCAATACGAACCTCAAGTGAATTCAACATGTTTATGAATTGAACCCTGCCTAATGACGGCCATCCAGTTAATACAACCATCTTGTTTTTCCTCCTTTCATTTGGCTCAGGGAAAGCTCAGTTAATGACTGAATTATTTATAATCATTTTCATCTGCGAGCCTCTTCAATTGGAGCACTCCTTATAACCCTATTTTCTTACCAGCGCTGAGCGGATAAATGAGGTTCAGCTTCACGTGAGACTATAGATAAAGGTATCAAAACAAGTAAAGAAATAAATTGAGCCACACTTAGCTTATAAAGGAGCTCATCAGTCATGGCATTTTTAGCTATTTTGGCCACTTACAAGATTACCTTTAACTATATAAAATATATAATATATGAAAATAACAATTTACTAAAGATAGAAAAACACCAAAGAGATAATAAAAAACCATAAACGAACAAGAATGGTTAAGGATGGAGAAGATAAACACCGATTGCAAACGACAAACTGGAAAAATTTAGGCTAAACGATTCAAAATGCGCAAACTGTGATGTAGCTCCTTCAAATGGGATTGATCCAAATGGGTGCCTTAAGCTCTTTGGACTGATCAGAATCGAAAGCACAAATAACGCGGGGAAATGCTGTACCACACTGTATATAACATACGTTACCGTAATGGCATATGGACAGACACCATGCTATAAAAACCGCTGTTGCGACACTCCTCATTTCAGGTGTATTTTGTCTGTACCTTAAACCAAACAAAATGTAAATGTTAAACCCAGCGTACCTTCAACAACAAAACTCAACTTCGCTAGCGCTGAATGGGTCGTATATCTTCCAATAAATATTTACCCTTAAGTAGTAATTTTCTATCCGAAGTATGCTATAAGGGATCGATAACTAGATTTCTAGTATATAAGCTTCCTTTTCCCAATGTCTATAGCTACCAAAAGCGCGTACTGTACGCTTGAAGATTACTGACCACTCATTACATCACAAATATGTCATATACATGTCATAGATGGAATAATGTTTTTTCAAGCATTTCAACAGTAAGGTAGATTTTAATTCAAAACATCAAAAATATTCTTTCCCACCTGAAATCCAGAGACCAAAGGATAATTAAGAGGCTTTCCGTTTGCTGTAGAACTGAAATTATTTGTTGTCTATCGATAAGCTGAGTTGACCTCCCTTTTGACAAATGACAGATTTTTGAATAATTACCACCGGAGTACCTGCGATATCTGGACGGCAAAAAGGAAGTGTATAAATTTCTCAGGTATACCTAAGCAGAACTAAACAACAGACATGGAGTGCCAAACCGTGATTTACAAGTTGTGACAGCTCCCTTAGCTTAGTGCATGTTTTCTTAAGTGATCAATTTATTAATTACATTCACTCAATTTAGTTCCCCGCCCCAAAAGCAGGTTTGGTCGAGGTAAGCCAGTGAGAAAAAAATGTTAAGACAAGCGTTTGACAGCTAGCGTCAAGTTATGAGAAAATATCAATCACTCAGAGGAAAGGAAAGAAAAAAAAATGCAAGGTCTCCAAACCGGAATCAAATGGCCGTTAAGACTTCAGTTTCAGTCTTTGATATGCTATTGCATGCGGTACATGACACTTGTAGAAGACCAGGCCATATAAAACTGGGCTCAAGTGTACCAAATTGTTAGGAGAATCATAAACAAGCAACTAGAAACTGGTTTGCGAATTTATAGCCGCGTGTTCTAAAGTCAATATTAAGTGCAAGACCACTTAATAGTCGCCCATCCCGAAAGCAGGTTCCGTCAAGTTGAACGAATAAGAACTCTATAATAAAATGACCTTTTGACAAACGTGTCACTTTAAAGCAATTCTAGTAAATAGTGGTGAGTCAATGTTATTAGCAAGATAACAACAAAATCGTATTTGGAAACAGAACAGTGAGAGCCGAATGAAAATTCTTCTCAACTAAGTAAGCTCTTATCGTCTTAAAACGTCTTTCGATTATTCCTGAAAAACTGGAAAAATTACAAACTAACACCGGTACTTACTTGGTTTTCTTTCTTATTGTTACATTTTCTCTGATAAATATCAACTATTACTTATCTGCACAAAGTATGCCTGCGTTTTGTTCGACAACTCGACAACTTGGGGTTACTGCTATGATGAATCAGCTAATTCGCGCAGGGAACACAAGAAAAAAATCTATGGACACCAGCTAGGAAAATCATTATTTTGATTTTGAGATAAATGGATTACAGTGGGTTGAAATCTTAAAGTAAAACTAATTCTGTTGTATCCAGAGTTGATTTACCCAGTTACTAATTTCGATTATGAACACCTTTACTTTTATCCCACCCAGTGGAGCAAATCGAGGGTCGAACTCGGGTCTTGAAAGCACAAAGTGACTAAGAATATTGTTATTCCATTCCGGTGGGATGTTAGTTTATTGCAGGTTACACGCCCACAATTTGTACTGGTTAAACCAACAATTCGCCAGTTTATAGTTTCAAGAGGAAGGGCGCTGCAGAGCGTTTGTCCACTGAGAGCAAAACAAATAGATTCAGTTCCAAGTTTAACATTAACTATAGATTATTTATTCTCTTTGTCCTTGTGTCCATCATTTTCCCAGAAATCAAATGTTGGGGATGGATTTAATGTTCTTGTTCACCATTTTGTTGCTGGTGATGCCAAGTGTGATCTCAGAAAAGAGCGAGTGCAGACCTTCTTCCCAATTCGGTGACGGTATAAAGAAGGAGGGATACGCCGAGTGCCCATCAGAACAACAGTACTTGTACCTAAAAGGACTAGAAGTCAGAGGAGCCAACGACAACCTTAAAGACATTTCAGCGGGAAAATGTTGCCGGCCGCCAAGCCTGCATCAAGACTGGCCTTTCACTTGCCACTCAGCAGACTGGCAACTAAGCTTCAGCAGGTAACGTTCAGATGCCTTCATCAACAGTAACACGCTGCTCATATCACTGGTACATAAAATCAGTTAAATCTTCGCCCCTCACCGTTTAAGTTTGGGTCGTTGATTATCTGTTTGACTTAGGGTTTACAGTATCCTTAAGGTTCCTTTCGGGCCCCTTCCCGTTCAGAACCATTATGTGTATTCAGTTAAATTTAATTCCGTATTAATGAAGCAATGTTTTAATTTTATCAAATTGAAACACTGTCTTAAGAACGTGGCTTTTGGGAAAAGATTTCCTGCTTTCGTTTCATTTATATAGAGCTCAGTCAGTTATTTCTGGGATTCCATGATTATAGGTCACATAGAGGAACGTAATCCGCCTAGAGCGGTTTCCATTTGAGTGTCGAAACGTAATTGGTTTTCATTACTACGCTACATGATTGGCTCATCAAAGTCGCGCCATTTTTTCATCTAATCGGAAGTAAAACTGAAATCAACTTGTTCTCACACGTTCCCGCGCTACGCGTCATCTACATGTACGTTCCTTGAGTTTTGATTGGTTAATTGGATTGTCTGTGCCCTTTGCGATTGGCTAGAGCGATTATATTAGTTTTGGTTTTACGACACTCAATTAAAAACTATCCTATTGTTAAACAAGGAAAGACCACAAAGTATAACAATTGAGGAAACCAAAACGTCTGGTTTTGTTCCAGCGAAGGCTGGGCGACATGTTCGCCTGGATTCTTTCTTCGAGGGTTTCACCGGGGGTCTAGTGACGAGCTGAAGAGCATCCAATGGGCAACCTGCTGTAAGCCTTCTCTTCATCCATACTCGTACCCAGACTGCTATGACCAGGATGCTGGCCAGGAACCCTTGCGGCAGTGCAGTAGGGATGGATTCCTATTGGTTGGATTATATCGAGGAGCTGGAGAGCAATTGTCGAGTGTTAAAAAGTTAAGGTGCTGCAAGATGCTTGAAGGTATTATGAACAAGTTTCAAACTCTTTTTTTGTCCAGTTATGTCACGATTGTAATTGTTTTCTTTTTTATCGATGTCATAAAGTGATTTTCCCCTCCCTGGCAATGAAAGGTTAAGCAACGATGTTTTGCATTGCTATATCTATGACTTAACAAAGTATTTTTTTGTCATTTAACTAAACATCATGCTGCTTTTTCTAAAACATACCTTTTCATATTAGTATTTCTGTTCGCAGGACAAAGAGCTCTAACATCACTTGACCAAGCCAAATCCCGTGTTATGGACGTGACTTTAGAAAACCTGGGAACACTAGCACATGCTATGGGCTACGGCTGGACAGGAGGTTGCAGAACCAAATGGCCTGGGATGGACTTTAGAAGAGAAGGAGATACCTGGACGGCCAATTATCAACAACCGTGCGAGGGATTTAAGGCAGAAGATCGCTTGAAGATCACCTACGAAAATTTCTCTTTCAAAGTCAAGAACGTAGACTACGGCAAGCCTGTTGTAGACACTATGAAGCCTATTGTTCAAGATATTGGAGAGATACAGAATGAAGATCCTTTACCCGTAGAGACGACAATCACTCGCGAGATAAAAACCGTGCGAACTGTGGTCCATTCCTCAACAAGCAGATGGAAGGCGGGAATTGGTGCATCCATCTCACTTTCATACAAGTCCCCAGGTTCTGAAATTGCTGGGTCCTTCAGCGCTTCAGTGACATTGTCAGGGGAAGCAGAGAGCGGTCAAGTGAATAAAGATGAGAACGGAGAAATAAATTGGGATATCATGAGAGTGCCCGAGACGCAAAAGGTCGATGGTCTTTCGGTGACAAGGTATCAACTTAACGTGGCGAGGAAGAACGTGACTGTGCCTTATAAGGCTACGATACAGGTTCAGTTCAGTGCTAAACTGGAAGGATTTCTCCGATGGGGTGGAGGCAAAGGAGGTTCTAGTCCAAATTTTCATGAAACACACCAAGGATCTGAGAGCCGACCTGACTTTCCGTACAGCATAGGAAGCCCTGATGAGCCACTCTTCAAGTTCTTGAAGAGAGTGAGTCAGAGAGATGATAAACCTTGGTTATGGAACGACATGAAACAGAAGTACGAGTGGCTGCCAGCAGTGATTAATGCTCTGACTAACGAGAGCCTGTATGAATTCGAGTTGGAAGGAAAGTTCCACGACGTGTCTGGATTGAGTTGGGATGTAAAATGGTCTGATTCCCCAGTTAGTTAAGAACATTAGTAGAGTTCCAAGAGAAATACTTGATAAACAGTTAAAAGCAACATCAGTGATATTGATTGGCTGACTGACTGACTTACTGACTGATTGATTCATTGAAAAACATCTGATATTTCAAAATTCCGCTCAAACATGTCCAACGGCCACTGCTGTTTGAGAAGTAGTTGCACCGAGTCGGGGGCAAAGCAATTTTGTGTAATATAACGCCTTAATCTGGTCATGAAAATTAGAAAATGCAAAGAAACATAAATAATAATCTTTCAGTTGTTTGCAAATTTCTTGTTATTTGGCATAAATGAAAAGAAACCTGGGAAATAAAGTATCTTTAATTCGGAATTATTTTGTATTGCATGGTCACTCGTTTGGCTGCCTAACGGTCAAGTTATGTGGTGGATCAAGTTGAAGAAGTACTATTTCCCATGGAAAACTGCATCTACCATCTTCGTAGTCAAAGAACACTGTAAACTGGTAAAACGAGTCACAGAATGATTTATCCGAGCTCCGTGATTAATTATAACCTGCTTAAAAGACATGCCAAAAAGTCTACGATGCTGGATGGCAAGGTATTGCATTTGGACATCAAACACAGAACCAAACAAATGCCATTCCCACAAGCCTGATGATGTTGAAATCGGTTCGTTTTGCTATGCAGTATGGCGGATTTTGGAAAAAGGTAAACAGTTCATGCAAAACGCTCACTGCAGTTGAACCTGTGCACAAATCACCCTGAGTCTTTTGTGTAAAAAGGAATCTCAACGGGGCGAAAGTGTCAATACAAAACAGAACTGACCCTTTTGCTTCGTTGATGTGTTAAGCCTCTGTTGACTGTAATCACAACTACTTAACGAGCGAAGGGACACGTTTGCATTTTAAGACAGCGTGGCCTTTTTGTAGTTTGCGCTTTAGCTTAGCATGTCGCTGACCTCAATTTAGCAAGCTCCGTCGAAATCATGGACTGGAGGAGGGAGTGGCCTTCCCCGTCTTTTTCCCCTGTAGCTACAGTGGAACAAAAGAAGCTAAGGCGGGTAAGAAACTACTTTGTCAGTCTTCTCCTTTAGAATCTAATAACCTAAGAAATGAGTTTTGACTCTTTGAGCAAACGTCTTACGTGCGGGAAAAAAGAATCATAAAATAATGATTTATTAGCAATAACAGAGCTAAAACACTTTCGCGTTGATGTAAATCTGACAAAAAACACACGAAAAATGTGGCAAATGCTAATAATGGTTTTAATCAATTAAAATATATAAATAATTAATATTCCAGTTGATATAAACTATTATGGTATGAAAAGTCAATTGCCCCCCTTTTAATATAATCGTAGCTTTAATTTTTTTGCGTTTATTTCCTCTATTTAAAACCTAATACTTGCTATTTTCCCAAAAAGACACTTCGCTTACAGCCCTCTTGTTGAGCAAAGTCAAATGTCTTTTTTTTTGTCGAGCTTTAGACTTATCATCCCAATAAGGGATTCTTCAAATAATCGTTTAATTAGGTGGAAAACATCAAAGAGTTAATGACGAATCTTGAAGGAACAAGGATGGTGAGATTGGGAATGATTTAGACGAAGTACAAACTTGACACTTGAATATAAACTCGAGCACAAACACTCGTTCACGCTGTGAATTGCTGGAGGGTTCAGTATAGTTCAGTGTAACAAGGAACCGTAAAATAAGCCATCTGTAGGGCATTACTCAATGATTATTTCATTAAGTAGCCTGTGGAAGCCTATCTCAAGGGAACTTCTCTAAGCAGCTGTGATAGCTAGGAGGCAACTTCGTTTCTTGTCTAAGGCGCCTACTTCCTCATGGCATCCGGGATATTGACCGACGCAACGGTTCCAATCAAATCAAGACTTGTTTCAACATTTTAAGAAGTTGAAGTCCAAATAAAAGCACACTTAAGTGATGACAGTGAGAACTTGAGACGCTGTTTTTGGATACTTCCGAAGGGGTATCTGAAAGAAACACAGAGGAAAAAACAACCAGTGATGATGTCCTTAGCTGAATTCATATTATACAGAGCTGTTACATCAAGGAACGTTTTGTTGTGTCAACCTAAACTTGACGATTCTACGGCAACCATGTTTACAAAGGATGCTTCACCCAAATTTGGATTTTTTTTTCAAGCATAAATTTTTGTTTTAGTTCGAATTTTGATTTTATGACGATGTTTTCGAAATTCTTTTCATTGTTTTACTCTTGCATTTTATTGTTTTGCTCAATTTATGCTGGAGATATTACCACTTACAAATTTAATCCAAGATGGCGGTTCCAAGATGGCGGACATTTTGAAGTGTGTGACGTTGTTGTGGTGCTCTTTGATGTCATGATAGACAAGTGAATATCACTTCAGTGAACATGCTCAGATGGTTCACACACTATATAAGTTTGAGCACCATTGACTTTACCCCATTTGAAGACACATGGACCCCCCTCCCCCCCCCGCCCGAGCTCCCCAGGATCCCGAACGAAAAATACCCCAGGGCTAAATGAATGAATGAAGGAATGAATGAAGGAAGGAAGGAAGGAAGGAAGGAAGGAAGGAATGAATGAATGAATGAATGAATGAATGAATGAATGAATGAAAAACTTTATTAAAGTGTCAATAGTATGTAGCTTAAAAAAAAAAAACTAATTGGGGACATTATTTACACAATAAAATATACCTTAGCTAAAGTTAAAATGTTTTACAATTTAATGAATAAAGTATAAAATAAATAAATAAATAAATAAATAAGTAAATAAATAAATAAGTAAATGAAATATATGAACTTAGTAAGAATTAAAAAGCTTAAAAGATATCAAATATATATAGAATGTAAAATTTAAAGCGGCCCAACAGCATATATCACAGTTCTTACAGTTATCTATTAAATGTGATAGGTCTACTCTTAATACTGTTTTACAATACTAAATGCTAAATAATACTAAATAATACTAAATACTTAAAAGACAAGGATTAAGCAATAACGTTTTCACCTTCTCTTGTCCGATTTCCTTTTTCCTGACCATCGTCATTTCCTTGATTGCCCTGTTGTCCTTCTTTCAAGGTGACGATGTACTTTTGGCGATAACGACACGCGAAGGGATAGTAAAGTTCTGGCGCGTGTCTGACAGCCACGCGTGACCCGTTTACTTGCTGCGAGTTATCCACGACATTTTTATAAACGATATGGTTCGGTTCTGTCACGAGGGTTGTCCCGCAACCTTGAAAGGGTACCTGAAATATGGCGCGTGTGTTCGTGACCTGTGGTTTACACGAGAAGTGTCGCAGATGTAAGGTATTTGGTTCTAGTTTCGGTATATCTTGTAAGTCCATGTCAAGCAGCATATAGTCTTGTAAGCATTGTAGACTAATGCGATGGTCACTTAGGGTTGGTAAGGGTTTGCCTATAAGATAAGGGAAGTAATGTTTTTGTTAGAGTAGCATTGTCTTCAGCGTTGTAATTAAGGAATTGGGGAATTATTTTGGTTTTGGTTTTATGACACTCAATTTAAACTGCTCTGTAGTCAAAAACTACAGTTTATCAGTTGAGGGATTGATTGACAAAAAAAGTAAAGTCTGCATACGAGTCAAGTGGCCCGGCAGGCCGGAGCTTATCCCGGTTTCTGTAGCAAGAAGCGACTAAGAGTATTTCTATCCGGGATTAAGTTTGCCGGTTAAGCCCTGGTCAAACAGACTCGCAAGTAATCGCAAGTAGCCACATGTTGAACTTGCATAGAGACTTACGTTGGGTGACCTAACGGACTCCCAAGTTTCCTCGCAAGTACACGCAGGGCGCAAAAAAAACCCATTTCAAGGCAAACGGCATATCCTGTATTTCAGTGGCTAATAATAGGCTAATGGACGTCACTCAACTTGCGTTGACTTGGTTGGGTGGCCAAACGGTGAAAAACTTGCGTCAACTTGCGTGCAAATTTGATCTCGACCAAAGTGAGCGCAAGTCATCGCAAGTCAATGCAAGTGCACGCAAGGCCTGGCCAAACGGAGTCGCAAGTAGACGCAAGTTGAGAACTTGCGTCTACTTGCTGCTCCGTTTGACCAGGGCTTTAAAGTGTCTTGCCCCCAAAAAACAACGCAATGTCCCCGGCCAGGGATCAAACCCGGACCACTCGATCCAAGGACAAGCGTACTAACCATGAGGCCTTAGCGGCTCCCACAATTGGCAGGGAAGGAAAAAAAGCAAAATGATTAGCAAAGGGCTTAGTTTTCTAATATAAATCTATGACAAAATACTCTGAAATGTTGCGATGTCCTATTTGATCCCTCCCAGTTCTGGACGTCTCAAGAACCCCCTTTCTTTTGTCTTTTCCCACCCTAAGTAAACTCCCCTTCCCCTTTACTTCTGGGTTCCAGCATTCCTGCTCATATTCTCGTATCCAGATCTTACTCTATTCGACGGAAGGCCTTGGGAAGACTGAGTTTGAGATTACCTTGTCCAAGCGCGTTACATATGAGTTATCGACCAAGCTTGTTCGGTCAAGATGGCTGGACATTGGCCAAGTTCGTGTTTTTGCTTGTTCATGGACCGAGACGGAGTCGACGTCCTTGAACACACAATAAGGGCTAATATCCAGACAAGCTTGGCCAACAACCCATATGTTTGTACAGCAATAAAGCTTGACACGGAATTGAAGCAAGCTGTAAAACATGACGAATTACGAGTGAAACTAGGAATAAGACTCACAGTTTTACGTTTGCCGTAACTTTTCTGTTGCTATGAAGTCGCTTTACGGCGGATCTGCTCTTATGTGTACTTTTGAATTTTGTGACTATCTGAATTTGCTCTGTCGCCAATCGGTCTGAAAACCAGCTCAAACTAAACACATAATGCCTGCGATCAATTCTAAATAGAAATACAAAAATAAAATTGCCGTCGTAGGCTCACGTTCACCAAAATACGCAGAACTTGATTCACGTTGTTCTTTTGTTGAGGACGGCTGCGAAATGCACGAACGTTTAAAACGCACGTGCACAGCTCTTGTTCTGCTCATTAAACCTTTTGTTTGGTGACGTTTTCGTCAGCGGAGACTAGGGGTGGCGAATGGTCCTGCAAAAACCATGGGTCTCGCAAAATTTTCGCCGAATTTCACGGGTCTTGCAGTCTCGTCTTTTAGCGGTTATGTGAGTCTCGCAGTCTCGATTTTTCTCACAAAGCTGTCTCGCAGTCTCGATTTTTTTCAAGGCTAAGAAAGTCGCGAAGTACCGATTTGTTTATTTATTTGTTTTTTTTTAGTAAAGTTAAATGACATGACAACATCTTAGAACCTGAACTGACGTCCTGAGTTCGCATTCAAAGCACTTTAAAGTGTCGGTCTCGCAATTGAAGAAGTCAAAATGTCTCGGGCTCGCAAAGTCTCGCATTTTAATACCATTCGCCACCCCTGAGACTCCTTTTACTTTCTTTTCTTACAAACAAAGTTAATCAGTGATTGAAAGAAATGTAGTTTAAAACTTAAAATAAAGTAAGAGCTTTAGGCAGCTTAAGAAAAACCCAATCTTTCCAAATCGTGGTGAAATTGTCTCCGAAATTTCGCTCTATGTCTAACTGTATTGATATGCAAATACCGCAAGTTAACCGCGATCGGCGCGTCTTATATGACAGTAAAAAATGACTTGTAATTATTGTAAACTTATTAAGGACTGAGTTGCAATGAAGCAAAACCCTGAAACAAGCAACGTTAATAGTCAAAGCCAATTTCCAAACACAGAACGACAAGAAGCCGGGATTATATATAGATTTTCAGATTACTATTTTAAGCATATGGGCTTATTCCGCGTTACAAACATATTAATTAAACACATGGTTTCGACAAAATATCAATATTAAGTTCCCTGCGCAGCCGTTTTAAATATAATCGCTAACTTTCACCTCATCCTTTCAATTTCTTGTGAGTGTTGAATATTAGTTAACTCAACAGGCTACTCCAAAGAAAGAAAGAAAGAAAAAAAAAACACGAAACTTTAAGCTTCAAATTCATGATTTTACCAGACGTAAAATATTACGAAGAAGACTTACGTGAATGCACAGACGCTAGTGTCAGTTGAATAATCACCAAAGCTGCTCTATATTCCATGGCAAAGGAAGACGCGTTTTCAAGTTTCATGTGAGTGTAACGTTAACCTCTTTGATCATAATTCAATACCTCGTCGCCTGCGCCTGGGAACTACAAGGTTCAGCACGTTTCGCGTATAAAGATGCAAAAACGTTTGAGTCAGCGCACGCAATCCAGGTTAAAGGTGTAACTGGCGGAAATCCGTCCGTGCATTAGGATTTAGACCTAAATAACAATGCCTGGCATCTTGAGGAGTACTGGACGCCAGACAATCTGCGGATGTAAGCTTTTTTCAGATGGATAACGACAATACAATATCGGCTTTGTTGTCATTGTGACCACTTGAAACAGAATAAAATTATCAGCCGCAAAGACGAAATTGAAAAGCAAGCGACATTACGGAACACTTTATAACCGATCCGCAGATCACGTTACAACTGCATGCGTATTGAGCGTCCTTAAAAAAACCTTTTATATAAAAGGAAACATCATCGAATTCCTTAGTATTGAGTTCGCGAGTGGAAAATGTTTAACATCGCGTTCACTTAACAGACAACCTGTGGCATATTCTCAAAATAAGACTAAAATAACTGGCAGGTACCTGCTCATTTCATAGTTATTGTATGCTAACCTTATATTTTATGCAAAATATAGTAAGCCAAGTATTAAACAGGAGCCACCCCCCCCCCCCCCCCCCNCCCAAAAAAAAAAAAAAAAAAAAAAAACTGATAAGTCTTGTATGTCATCAGTGCAGGTGCTTTCGAGCTGTATACCCAATACATCAGATTTGACAAAGCTTTACAAACCAGTTGAGACTGTGTATGGAGATGGTTTTTTATTTTTTTACTTTGACTGCCAAAGTTTTCGTGCTTTATTATTGAAAACCCAGTAATGGAAATCTGTTTATTTTGCCATATCCAAGAAATTGTCGAGAGCGGACTTATCACTGGAGTAATTTAGGCGGTTTTTAACAATTTCTGAATGGAACAAAGTTAAGGTTAAAAATTTCGGCTTGTCAAGTTGATTATTTTCAGAATCGTTTTTAGCTAAAATAGAGGTTAAGCAACTCTATCATGGAAAGCCATAACTTTCTTATGTGGTTGTTTATCACTATTTGGTGCGGTTTCTTCATAACGTGTTGTAGTTACTTCATTACGTTGTGTGGTTTCTTCATTATGTGTTGTAGTTACTCCATTATGTTTTGTGGTTTCTTCATTATGTCTTGTAATGTAGTCCTGACGTGGTATGTTTTTATCATGATGTGGTGTAATAACTTCATTACGTGGTGTGGTTTTATCGTGATGTATCGAGGTTGTTAAGTTATGTCTTGTGCTCTTGTCATGGTGTAATGTGGTTACGCTGTTATGTTGTCTGGTATCTTCAATATGTGGTTTGATCATTACGTCATGTGGTTTCGTCTTTATGTCTTCTTGACCTCACTTCCGATACCAAGCTCTAGTACCCAGGCTTCTCGCTATCACGAACTGGTTAAACCGGTTTTAAGATGGGTCCCAGTTCCTTCTCTTCCCCGGTGTTAAAGACGACAAAATGGCGAGAACAAGCAAAGACAATTTGTCAACTATACTTGACAAGATGCACCTTAGGCATCTTTAATATTGAGAACTTCCAGCGCGAAAAGCAAACTGTGGATGAAATATGTAAGCTATCTTCTGAAGAAATGGACCCTGAACATCATAATGAGGAAACCACACAACATAATGAAGTAACTACAACACATAATAAAGAAACCACACTAAATAACGATAAACAACCACATAAGAAAGTTATGGCTTTCCATAAACTCTCGTACTTTATTGTTATTTTCTCTCGTCTCAAGCATAGTTAGTGTGATTATTATTTCAAATATCAAGTTGGCATCAGGTTTTTTGGGGGCGTGTTTCTTGTCATTGATCAAGAATCTCCAAGCTGTCACGACTTCACGTCGTAGTCCACTCCTGTACGTGACGCGAAAGAAAACCGCCAGGAAAAACTGAAAATCGCCGCGCGAAATCCCAGGGATATCTTTCGCACGCTTGTTGCCCCCAGAATTTCGCGCGCCCATGCTTTTTCGCGGTTTATTTACATTCACAAACGACGAACTGAACTAATCAATAAGCGAAAGAGGGACTACTCGTGGTCTAGTACTCTGACAAGGTTATGACATATACTATGATGGACATCAAGGCAGAAGGATGAAAACATGTTGTTATCTCATACTTGGTGAAACAAGCGGAAATCCTTGTCTAAGTACTTAAATAATTTAAATGGTCTCCGTTTCTTTTGGTTCAATCAAAAGACAGCAAGGGTACTCCACGTCTCTCTGAAAGTTGTCACATCACCATGGGCCAAAATTAAGGGTTGTCTAACGTTGCCTAGCAACTTCTCCAACAAAATCCGCGTTCAGACCAATCGTTGCATTGTAAGCCGCCGTATACTCGACCATGTTTGAAAAAGATCAATATAGAGCACAATTTGAGTACACGAGATGAGTATTTTCAATAGATTATTTTATAGTTGACGTGACATCGGAAAATATGGCCGTGATCTCTACGTGATCTCGGACATCAACGGAATTTATCATTGTCCAAAAATGACACCACATCATGTTTAAGTAAAGACACGGAAGCAATTACCATCTTAAACGCATCGAGCCTCACGTTTTCAAGTTTAGCACAAATTTTTAATTAGTTTTCTGACATCTTCTTGGTCTTGTTGTAACACCGAGTGATCATGAATTTTTCGAGAACACGCTTCTTGTATACATTTAAAGTTATGTTATAGTTCAGCATGTTTATTGGCAGAAGTTAGACGGGTTTAACAATCAAGTACTGATTCAAGCTTCTATTTGGCCAATAACTACTGACCATTTTTTTTTCAGGACGTTTTAATACTTCATTTCACGGCTTAACAATGGCAAATAAAAGTGATAAGGTTTGATAGGGAAATTATCTTCTAATTCACAGTTGGTCGATCACTGAAGCAGCGGGTGTAATTTTCCAACTGTCTTTAACAGTCATAACAATTCGGGCCGACAACTGAGCTGTCAGCGTTGCTAGGAGACCACTGGTAGCGCCATTGAACAGAAGAAAGTTATGGAAGTGTATAATAAGGCTGATGTGCAAATCTTGGGCTATGTTGCCGGGTAAATATTTGCATGTGTTGAATCAAATGGTCACGTTTCTACTGAAAGTGAGACAAATGTTGTAAGCAAGGGCACGTACAAACTATAGGTTTAAGATAACCGCCTTGTTAAAAGTAATTTTTTAGTTCTTGAAGACTTGAAAAGTCGACGAAACGATCGAGATTAGAAATTTGACATTTTAATTGTTTCGGCCTAGAGTGTTCACTTTGTAGCCTGGAGGCATTGGGAAAAAATAATCCTACTAAGCCTGTAATTACTACAGCAATTAACCAGACTGGTTATGGTAGATGAATAAAAACCGCAGAACTGCAGCTGTCATTTAAGTAAAATGAAAATTCGGCGAAACACTTGCCTACTTTTTAGAGATACAATCTCTTATTTCTAACCGGAAAAAACGGCTACAGGCCTACAGAAACAGCCGGCAAAGATGGGCCATTCTTTCGCTGGTACGGCGATCACGTTGAAGGGACAAGTGGCACGCTTAAAATATGACCTGGCGACTTGACTCGTTGTAAACACTATTTAGCGAAAGTTCTACGACAGTTCAAAATCTTCGCGAACAATGAAACGCGCTTTAGCTGGTGCGGTCGTCGCCACTGGATTAAAAATAAATTCCCTTACGATGGACTAACGATCTCTTAGTGTTACAGGCAATTTAGGACTGGCCATTTATAAAGCCTTCAGTCAACTGAAAAGGGGAAAAAAATAAGACAGTCTCGAACGGTGAAACAATCGACTCACACGTGCCTGCCCGCCAAACAACAGCGAACTCACTGCCGACTTTTAATCTTCTTTGATGAGACGCTAAAAAGCGTTGAATATTAAAACGATGATCATGAAATTTTCATTTAGTGGAAATAGAACAGAAATTTGCATGCCACTGAAGTCTTGTCAAGAAATTTGGAAAATGAAAACATGGTGTGGGCAACTGAAAGATGAACGAAGGCTGAACCTGTTGTTGCTCTAAGCTTGTTCTGTTCGCGGCGAGTTGTACGCTCTGTCATTAAAATCCTGTTGTCTTCTTTCTAAAATCTGAAATCGCCATTTCTTAAGTATAAAGACAAGCGAATTTTCATCTCGTTTGACTCATTTTTCAAATTTCTGCGTTCGTAAAGCGGTCGCAAGGACAAGGTGAAATGAAATGAAATGCGAAGAAATGGCGAACATGCGGTCGCAAAGAACCCCTTCAAATGTAAACAGCAAACAAGTAATCATTATGGTAATTTTAGTTAAACTTACTTGTACGAAGATCCAGCAATAACAGCAGCAAATATTTCGTCAAAAAAAAATCTGCAATCCATCGGAGATACATCTTTAAGTCGACCTCTGCAAATCTGTTTCCGAAAAAGAAAGTTCTGCTGTCCAAAACAACCTATCGCATGCTTTCCTCCAAGCTAGATGAATATATATATTCAGTAGAAAGCAAATGTGAACTTCGGCGCTGCGGTTTTTTGGAAGCCATCCCCTGCTGAATGTATTCAGGGCATTGTGTACTTTGCAATTAATCTGACTCACGCAAGGAATTTTAAAACATCGTTATAACAACGGCCCGATGGAAATATTTACTAATCATCACAGGGTTTCAAAAATAACATTCACAAGATTGTCAAATAAGAGTGGATAGGATATTGTGATTGAGATGATGTATTAGCATATAAATGGTTTTAGAAGACAGAAGCGGTCACGGAAAGAATTGGAAACAAAACCACTTGAATACAAGGATCTGCAAGGACAATAATACCTTGTTAACTTACTAAAAGCCGCAAAATTTGTGCTGATTTGCAAAATTAAAACAAGAAGGATGGGAACGAACTTAACGTATAGAATTAAATCCACACTGTTTTCATAAAAAAAAAAAAGAAAAACAAGAAAAAAAAAATTAGTGTTTCGTTGCAATGATCGCATAGCTGGGCTTTCAGGCTTTCATCTGCCTTGCAAGGTCACACTTCGTTAAGTAAGTGTCCACCTCTTTACTGGAAGCTGGTCTAACACATGGAAGAAAGAAAATTTCAAATGCGTGGTTTAAGACCCGAAGAAAGGTTATAACCTTAATCCTGCTTGAAAAAAAAACAAAAACAAAAAAAAAAAAAACAGCGGGAACTAGCAGACATTCATCCTAAGCCGCACAAACAGATGAATCGACTTTCGTTTTCAAAAAGCGCGCGCATTTGTGTGTAGTCTGCAGGTAACACTATTCTGGTGAGCACACAAAATTAACGTTGTTTCATAGCAGCGCGTGCCATCGTTTGACTCCTTTGAGTCCCAATTTTAATGTTTTTCATGCAGTTAGTCTCTGAAATTTCCCTCCCAGTTTCCTGACAACGTACGTGCGTGACATTCTTTCAGTGTCACAGCCCGGGCAACTTATATAAGATCTGTTACAGCGCTGCCGAAGAACTCGAGAAAAGAAGAATTTGATTCTACTTCGCGAATCACTTCGTAAAGCAAACATCAAGTCGAAACCATTGCGAAACATGTAAAAAGTATCTAGTGTAAAGCGCATTTTAATACGTCTTATCTACCACAATGGAACTTTTATTTCCTCAGGCGAGCTCGTAAGTCTTGTTAATCGTTTTGCGATAGGTGGTAGGCTACATAAGGTCTGCCCACACAGGGTCTGCATTGTCTGTAAATTGTTTTAGAGCCTTAATCCAACCTCAGACAATGCATAAATCTTGTTTTTAGACAAGTGATTAAATTAGTCAAGAAATAGAATGGATCTCTGCGATAAAAGACAAAAAGGCAATTTTCTTATTCAAATGAGTTTATTTTCAGAGCATCCAATATTTATACATGACAATTAAGGAATTGACCGAAGTTATTTAACGTGAAGTGTACACATGACATGCAATGGCTAGTATCCAAGCCATCCCCATAAATTGTTTCGTTCCTTATCGTCCTTCTTATCGTCCTTCTTTCGGAAAAGTTAGAAAAAGAACAAAAAATGGTAACACAACAAAACAACAACAAAAATGTTTGATTCACATTGCCTGCTCCCGCCATTTTTCGGGTGTTGTTCGAGTGACTCTGACACAAGTCGCCATAAACGTCTTGAAATATATTTTTGAGTGATAACGGCTAGCAAACGCGGAATAAATCTAATCAACCTTTGTGCAAAATTGTTTAGTTGCTAATTATTCTTTGGTGAGCTTTTATTAAATTATTTATGATCGTTATCTTTTTGAACCAAACGACTGACTCACGTTTACTGGCAAGAGGGCGTATACTTAAGCAATATATTAGAAGCCTATTATTAGGAGCAATAAGAAAAACTCTTCCAATTTAAGAATATTCATCGAATCACGCCTGACCGTGACCTTACCGAAGGTTGCAAACACTAGAAAATTTTAAACAATTAGCCTTTAACGTAAGAACTTGCGAAGGCCGACGTATTTCCGGCTGTCGCTTGTCTCCGCCGAAAATAACGTCTGCGAATCCGAGCCAGGAAACGATTAATCTCTGTGACGTGGGAATTTTAAGCCAATCACAGTTTAGCTCAAGTAGCCCCAGTACTACTGTGCGAGGTATTCGCTGCGAGGAGCACTCGAGTTTCATTCTATAATGGAATCTGATTCGCCAAAGAGAAACAAAAGTCATTACGTCACAGAAATCGTTTCCTGGCTCGGGTTCGCAGACGTTATTTTCGGGGGAGACAAGCGACAGCCGGAAATA